GCAACAACAATAAGCTGTCTTTAATAAAATTGCAAACAATTGTCAAACAACTGTAACCAGGGAGAAGCAAATCACACCGACGACTTAATTATTTTAATTTCTAACATCTAGACGACTTTGATCGTTGTCCCAGTTAATTTCTAGTATAAATAGCGTATGAATTGTAGTATTTATGGTTGAAAATTGCTACGTTTGAAGAAAAAATAGTATACTTTATTCAGCAAAGAAGCGACTTTTCTTGACTTGTAGTATAGTTTAAACAGGATCCTATTGTGTTATCCCGTGGGAACTTTATTGCTAAAATGTAAAACCCATTTTTTTTGGTTTTTAATATCTTTGTAAGGCAAAATCACTTGGTCGTCCAAAAATCGTAGTGGGAGGGGGGTGGTGGGGAGCCTTACAAAAAAAAGTGTTAATTTTTTTTTTCGTTATTTTTCGGATCTACGATAACCGAAAATTCATTCCTCAAATTTGTATGTTGATCTGGACATTAGAAATATTTTTATTTTATTTATAAAAATACGTCAAACCATTGTTGTATATGGAGCGCCTTCATACAAAATCACTTGTTCTGAAAACCCATATTTTTCAAATCTTTTGCCTCGCTCTACCTCGAAAAATATTGGGTTTAGCAAAAAATTACTTTCTATAAACATTATAGACCAAAAATCAAAGAACACGTGAGTTTTTTTAGAATTCCGATTGGATACTTAGTTTAAGAAAAAATTAAATAAATCGAACGGCATGTCACGACGGACAGTGCTGAACGCCGAGATGCGAGGAAGGGCGAGATTTCTAATCTGAAGTCAAAGCAAATCGACTCTAGTGATGGCGATGTTGTTAGGGTCGATTTTACATTGAAACGCTGTTGTGTTGTATATTCTATTGCGAAAGTGCATCATTGTGCATTATTTTATACTAATAGCGCGAAATCCACTGAGCTGAGATTTTTTATATTAAAAGTTTTAAATTATTAAAAGTTATTAATTAGCTTATTGCTATAATAAAAATATTACATATCTACTTAATATTAAAGTAAATATTTTTTTCATCTAGAAACGGATTTAACGAAAAGCAGCAGGTCTGACAGTGAACTTGAGTCAAAAATCAGATTAAGGCATGTTTTTTTCCATAAAGTCCATTTCCTTTTCAGTTTGTTGAAGGACGCGGAAACTGGAGAATACATTTTTGTTCGAGTTTTCGAAAAATGCATCCTTACTTCTTTGCATTTGGCCATGTGAACTATTCTTTTTGGGGAACATTATATTTGTTGGACATGTACAAATTTGCTGATAAGTATCCAGAATTTCATGAAGACTTTATTAGAGGAAATTTTGTTGTGAAAAGTTTGAACAGAAACTTGTACCAACTATTTGTAGATACAGTTTTAAACATATAAATACAAACTCAAAAGATGCAGGAGAAATCGTGTGATTTACTAAAACCAGCACCAAACTAGACGAATGATTTTTAAGCTATAATATGATTGGCATGATGGTAGATGAATTTCGTGCATCATAAGACCTAAGCAACCACTCAAGTCAAAACGTAGAAAGTAGAAAAAAACGGATGAAAATTGATGAATATTCTGTACAAAAACTACATGGTCAGTTTTTACGATTTAATGTATTTTTAAAAAGCGTAGATCGTCTTCTCGTAATTTCAGCTAATGAGATTGCATCGCCAAATGTTCAAACATCCTTACTAAATATACAAAAAAAAATGAAAAAGAGAGCCTAGCGAAATGTATTGTTACTGTTGGAACTCCCAATTTTTATCAGCATAGAAAAGAGAATAATCTTCCAAGACTTCGTCGCGCAGGTACCTATAAAACTGTCTCTGAAAAGAAGAAAATTATTCAAGATGAGCAAGAATTTTTACAAAAAATACTAGCAACCAAGGCAATTGAAAGAGACATAAATATTATGAGGATATTTTCAAATATGAATTGACAGCATATCCAATGTCACTTGTACCAGCAGGAGTTTTATCGATACCATAAAATAAATCTGCCTTAGGTTCTATAATAGAACAGTTTACAGTTGTTACAAAATCACAAAACGTGTCACATTTTTGATGGTATGGGATTGATTCAAGTAGTTGGCAAACCATCAAATGCCAAAACATTTGACGACTATGCAAGAATTTTGAAATCAATAGTGTTCAAGAACCCCTACAACGTTAAAAGGATCGATTTTGTTTTGGATCACTACAAGGAATCTTCCATAAAAAACTGCACGAGACAAAAGAGAGGCGCCAAAATTAAATCAACACAACGGTTAATTAAAGGTCCGGATACAGTATTACCTCAAAAATGGAATTCATTTATTAATTGAGTTTTTAATAAAAACCAGCTTGCACACTTCGTAAGCAATCAGCTAGTTAAATATTCCTTAACAAATTGCACCGCTCACTTCGTATCCAGCAGAAGATTTTTGCGACGTTTTACATTACAAAACAAATTTTGGTTTGAATTCTGAAATATTAGTCTCATTACATAAAGAGGCAGATACCAGAATAATATTACACATTCTGTCAGCAAAAATGGAGGGATATACAAAATGTATAGTCGACTGTAAAGTTACCGATGTGCCCATTTTAAAGACCTTTCAACTCCAGAAGTTTAGATAAGGGTTGGAACAAAGGACAACGAAATATTTATAGGTATCCACGAACTCTCTATGGATTACTCCCTAAGGAAATGTTGACCAGCCTTTCATATTGGAAGGTATTTCTATTAAATTATAGTCTCCTATCTAGAGTGGGAAGTGAAGAATATTTGAGCAAAGATGTTTTCGATGATATGATATTGTTAAATCTGTTATTCTTCTTTATACACCTAACGACAATATTAAGTGTATTAATACTCTAAGAGGTATTTTGGCCACTACGAAACCTATTTATAAACTGCCTCCTACTTTAGACAGTCTGAGGCAACACTGCCTTCGTATACACTTCCAGACGAAAATATGGCTATGTAGTGCGACACCAAGACCATGTCTGCCAAATCCGTTGCTAAGTGGCTGGAGTAAACAAAATGGAGAGCTGGTACCAGTTTTAAACACGGAACCCATGTTGACGAAAGATACATATATTCTGAATAGTTGTAAATTTAAAAAAGGTGAATCAACTTTTGCCTTTTTATGTGAAGAATAATTATATTAGCTTTTTTTTAATAATTTTCAGACTGTACAGGGCCCAATGCTCGTGTAAAAGGAAGCAGATCAAATGCATTGGTTCTTGTAAATGTGTGGCCCAGGCGAAATGTGGCAATAAAGGTAATATACGTGAAACAATTTTAACCGTAGAAGATGTTAGTTCTGAGAATACTGAGGAGTCTGACTTAGAATAAGATAATTTATGCCAATCATATTGTAGCTTAAAAACCATTCGTCTAGTTTTGTGCTGGTTTTAGTATATCACACGATTTCTCCTTTATCTTTTGAGTTTGTATTTATATGTTTAAAGCTATATCTACAAATAGTTGGTACAAGTTTCTGTTCAAACTTTTCACAACAAAATTTCCTCTAATAAAGTCTTCATGAAATTCTGGATATTTATCAGCAAATTTGTACATGTCCAACAAATATAATGTTCCCCAAAAAGAATAGTTCACATGGCCAAATGCAAAGAAGTAAGGATGCATTTTTCGAAAACTAGAACAAAAATGTATTCTCCAGTTTCCGCGTCCTGCAACAAACTGAAAAGGAAATGGACTTTATGGAAAAAAAACATGCCTTAATCTGATTTTTGACTCAAGTTCACTGTCAGACCTGCTGCTTTTCGTTAAATCCGTTTCTAGATGAAAAAAATATTTACTTTAATATTAAGTAGATATTTAATATTTTTATTATAGCAATAAGCTAATTAATAACTTTTAATAATTTAAAACTTTTAATATAAAAAATCTCAGCTCAGTGGATTTCGCGCTATTAGTATAAAATAATGCACAATGATGCACTTTCGCAATAGAACAGCACAACAGCGTTTCAATGTAAACTCGACCCTAACAACATCGCCATCACTAGAGTCGATTTGCTTTGACTTCAGATTAGAAATCTCGCCCTTCCTCGCATCTCGGCGTTCAGCACTGTCCGTCGTGACATGCCGTTCGATTTATTTAATTCTTTCTTAAACTAAGTATCCAATCGAAATTCTAAAAAAACCCACGTGTTCTTTGATTTTTGGTCTATAATGTTTATAGAAAGTAATTTTTTGCTAAACCCAATATTTTTCGAGGTAGAGCGAGGTAAAAGATTTTAAAAATATGGGTTTTCAGAACAAGTGATTTTGTATGAAGGCGCTCCATATACAACAATGGTTTGACGTATTTTTATAAATAAAATAAAAATATTTCTAATGTCCAGATCAACATACAAATTTGAGGAATGAATTTTCGGTTATCGTAGATCCGAAAAATAACGAAAAAAAAATTAGCACTTTTTTTGTAAGGCTCCCCACCACTCCCCTCCCGCTACGATTTTTGGACGACCAAGTGATTTTGCATTAGAAAGATATTAGAAACGAAAAAAAATAGGTTTTACATTTTAGCAACAAAGTGCCCACCAAAATCTATTCTAGAAGCCTTTTGCCAGTCTATTTACTCTACTATTGCCGTCTATTACGCGTCAAGGCATCAGTATTCAGTATTTAGTCCTTAAAATAATTCAAAAATTAAGTTATATTTTTTTAGCGTCGATGTTACTGAAATATATTCAAACTTATATGAATTAAAAGCTACAGTTGAGTTTATTTTAACAAAATGAACAATAACAATGTTTATAAAAGTTGATATATTTATTACTTTTAGTTTTTCTACTTTTTCTACTCTAGTATAAAAGATCAGGGTAAATAAGATACAAAAATTATGGGTGTGCAAAACAAGACTGTTGTAACCATCTAACCTATATTGATATAAAAAACTCACAACAAACAATCGCTTAAAAATTCTTTAGTGTATTACTTCTTTTTTTAATTTTTTTTGATAACTTTGAATGAATCTATTTTCTATTTTTAACACTTTCAGTGCTGTTTGAATTACACAACTTAGCAACCATTTCTGCCATCGATTTTGTAATTTTAGCCTCACAAATAGCTTGCAATTTCTTATTTTGATCTATGTCGTTCCATTGAAGAGTTTTCTTGTAGTATGAAATTTCTAGACATGCTTGGTTATTTCCTGAATTATCAGGTTCACCTGTTTGCCAGTTACCATACAAAATTGGACGGCCGGTTCCCATCCATACCCATTTGTTGTACGCCAATGTAGTTCCTGATGTCCAAAACCGATATTCTGGTGCGTCACCAACTAAAAATTAAAATAGGTATTAAGATAGACAATAATATTAACTGTTGAAATAATAGGGGACGAAATAAGTAACGCAATGAGCACTCTGCACAATAAAAAAGGTCCAGATGAAGACTGAATTGTATTAGAAATAATAAAGTATTTAGGACAATAGAGGGGCTGAGAGGTAAAGTGGTACAAGTGACATTTTGTATAAAAGTGAGATATGTGCATGAGTGGCTAGAGGATGTTGAGATTAATTAATATAAAAATGGTACAAGTACAAAACACACTACAGTACGGACATCTGTATGTGAAAAGTAAAAGCTCTCACCAATTTCTGGTAATGGTATTCTGTATAAGTGGTCCAAGCGTACATGTCCCACTTTTGTTCTAAACCTTATGTAGTTGTTTGTGACAGCCACGTTTTAAAAGTGTGCAGGAATATTAATACAATTTGTAAAATAGACTTAAAATAATGCAAGGTAAGTCTTCAATGGGTTTTATATTTTTTCAATTGTTATTTTATAGGGTTATTTTATTTATCTATGTCTTCAAAAAGTAGTAGTTGAAAGAAACTTATAGCATAACCTTAAAATGTTTCTTTTTTGTTTCAGAATCTGATAGTTATTCGGAATATGACGATTCAGAAGAGGACAGAAACTATAATGCAATAGAAGAAAGTAGTAGCGATAGTAATCATGATCTACAAAACATTGCAGATGTTCATTTAAACAAGTCATTAAAGAAAAAGGGCAAAAAACGTTTGCGATTTAGATAAGAGGCAAGTAAGAAAACGAAAAAGAAATGCAGGCGAGGAATACGTAGGCTATAAAAACAAGTTAGTAAAAGCAAGAAGTTTGCAAAATTATATACGTACTTGCAGATTTCAGTGTCAAAAATTCACCGATGAACAACGACAGGAAATATTTAACCAATTCTGGGGTCTAGGAAATTGGAATCTGCAGAATGCATTCATTACGTCTTGTACAGAGATCGCTTTGCCCAAACGACGACGTACAGAAGCTGTTACTAATAAAGAAAAGAGCGTTACTATCAAACTAAAAAATATGAGAGTTTGCAAAATGTTTTTCTTAAAAACCTTGGATATCAGCAATGGACGTTATTCGAGAATTTTAAATGGGATATCTGACGTTGGAATCACCGCTGTTGATAAAAGAGGAAGAGCTCCATGTCCTAATAAACTATCACAGGATGTAATTGATAAGGTAAAACGACATATTGATATGTTTCCAAAATATACCAGCCATTACACCAGACATTACAATCCCCGTAGACGGTACCTTCCTTACAGGAGAGTGTTTAATACCGAATTTATTCTAAGTTTTCATTATCCCTTGTCCGATACTTGTAATAAGTGCGATAAGTTCGAAACATCAATAAAATCGTGCATAAGTGAGTCAGATAAAAAGAAAATAATGTGCGAGAGAGAGCTTCATCACCGAAAAGCCGAATCGGGAATACAAACCAAAAAAGAGGCAAAAATAGTGACTGAAACTTCAAGGAATGAAGAAGTGGTATTAGTTTGTTTCGATCTACAAAAAACTTTACCTACACCAGCACTTACAACCAACAAAGTGTTTTATATGCGAGTATTATGGACATATAATTTTGGAATCCATAATTTGGGCAAGAAATGTACTTCATTGTATATGTGGGATGAATCGGTAGCATCCAGAGGCTCTATGGAAGTTTCTTCATGTCTTTGGAAATTTATTGCTGGTCTTAATCAAAATACACGACATCTTATTGCATTTAGTGATTCTTGTTCGGGACAAAATAAGAATAAAAATATTGTGAAATTTTTTATATATGTGGTTAAAGAAACTCAGCTAGAAATAATAGACCACAAATTCCTTGAACCGGGACATACCTTCATGGAATGCGATGAAGATTTCGGAGTCATTGAAAAGTACAAAAAGCAAGTACCTTATATTTTTGTACCCAGTGAGTGGATGAATGCTGTGAGAAACAGTTCTAAGAAGTTTAAATGTGAAGAAATGAAGATGGAGCACTTCATTTCACTCGAAAACTTCAACGAGTACGTGCAGGAAAATATTAAAAAGGATGATGAGAATAAGCAGATAAAATGGAGAGAAATAAAATGGATTCGGTTTGAGAAGAAAGACCCATTTACTATGAAATTCAAGTACACTCTCAATGAAGAGACTGAATTTATAACTGTTAACTGTATGAAGAAGATGCGTGGAAGAACACCTCAGAATATTAGTCTTAGCAAACTGTATAGTTCACCCATGAGTCTGAAGTATGAAAAATGGAAGAATTTACAAGACCTACTATGCTTTGTGCCACCAATTTACCATCAATTTTACAATCAGCTCAATCACACTGCGAAGAAGGGAAAACAAGGTCAGAAAAAGAAGCCAATGCAACCTGAAGAAAGAAAAGAGAAGGACAATGAAGATGACGATGAGGTAGACGACAATAATAAAATACTTTTGAGCGACTATGATGATGAGGAAGATATTTAGCTCAGTTGGTAGCACGTCTATATAATATCATTTCGTTATTATTTTTATGCATTTTTTGTTCCTGTATTTTTGTGTAATATACATTTTGTTTCGTATCTAATGTAGCTTCTTAAATAAATGTTCAAAAAATTACGTGTATTTCTTTTATAAAAGATATTATTTATTTATGTACTCATGGTAATATTTACTTGTACCATTTTTACTCTAAACAACAAAAATGGTACATGTACATTTTGTAAAAAATGTTTCAAAAAAACTAAATGTATATGATTGTAAAAACTGCACATGAAAACATTAAGAACTTACTAATAATAATATATTGATTAGATTTTAAAATTTTGTTTGGTCTTTTTGTGCCACTACTTAAACTTTAACTCTCATTTTCTCAAAACTATCTAAATGTCACTTGTACCACTTTTCCTCTCAGCCCCTAATATTTTAAATATTAAAAATCATTTTTAATAAATGTACAGAAATCAATAACATACTCACAGCTTGATTAAATTCTCTTAAAATTATCGTTTCTGTTTTACTTATTATATATTAAAACACTGAAAAATAATAATAATCTTTGTGCCTGTCCGAGATGGATAATATAAGCATTTTCGAGTCTGTTTATAATAATTTTAATTGCTATTTCATTTGATCCTGATCCCGCCAAAATATTACACATGAAATAAATATGAATCTTTCCACTTAGGTTGGTGGAAAAGTGATGAGGGTAAGAGAATGATCTTGGGTGATGAGAGGACTTTTCTATGGATCTTCTTCGAAAGCAGTAGATTCAATTGTTAAAGTCATGACGAATTTGTCATCGAGAAGTCGTTAGAGTAGTGGTAACATCGGGTATTCCATGGGAAGGAATTTATAAAACAACTTTTGCAAAGTTTTAAGACGTCTACATGATTTTAAGTGAAAATTAGCAGCTGAGTTTTAAAGAATATATATTGATATCATCAGGAGGCCACAGGTACGGAGAGTAGATAAACCATATTGGTGAGATAAAGAAGTGGAAGAAAAGATAAAAAGAAAGAGGGAAGTATATCAAAAGTTATTACAACAGGGAGACGAACAAACAAAACAATAATATAAAATGAAAAAGACAGCAAATATTTGATTTCACGCAAAGAGCGCCTATGTATCTGTTGATACGTATTTCGACCTAATAGGTCTCATCAGAACAGTTATTCATAGGTGAATATTTTATTTTATTTTATTTTATCTCAACGTGAAAAATCAATTTTTTTTTGTCTTTTAAAAAGCAACACTAAAATGGCTTCAATGCGGACGTGATAGCGACATCTAATAATAAAATCCGTGAAATAGTTTCGAAACACAATTCAGATTTCTGCTTATAATCTCAGTCTTTTGAAAATTGCAAGGCAAACGGACGTTGATAAAAGATGTTAAAAGGGGGGGGGGGGTGTTTTTAGAAGGCTTAGATTATAAGCAGAAATCTGAATTGTGTTTCGAAACTATTTTACGGATTTTATTATTAGATGTCGCTATCGCGTCCATATTGAAGCCATTTTAGTGTTGCTTCTTAAAAGACAGAAAATATCGATTTTTCACGTTGAGAACACCTATGAATAACTGTTCTGATGAGAACTATTAGGTCGAAATACGTATCAATAGATACATAGGCCCTGTTTGCGTGAAATCAAATATTTGCTGTCTTTTTCATTTTATTCGGATATATTCTGTGTGAGTACGAGAAACACAATTCGCTAAGGATTTCTGCTTAGTTGTAAAGACATGTCGTGGAATGCAAATTTTAGATTCACCATGTCCCTTTTTTTAACATCTTTTATTAACGTCTGTTTGCCTTGCAATTTTTAGAAGGCTCAGATTATAAGCTGAAATCTTAATTGTGTTTCGAAACTATTTTACGGATTTTAATAATTATAAAAGCTTGAATAAAGAAGTCACACGAGAAGTGGTTAAAAAAATAGTGCATGGGATTAAAAATGCTAATACCTAGACAACCATATAGGAGGGACAAAGAGCTCTGAAGCCTGGAGAACTATAAAAACGATAAGAACAACGACAAAACACCAAGTCATAATAAATAGAATACCAGAGAACGAATAGTTAGAGTATTTTGAGAACTTATTAACAGAAAAAAGAAAAAGGTTTAAACAGACAAATGAACAAGTGGAAGTAGAAGGAAGAATAGAAATATCAATACAACAAGTGAAAGAAGCAGTTAAGGGAATGAAATTGAGAAAATATCCAGGCCCAGGCGGAATGCATCCAGAGTTGATAAGTTATGGACCATTAAAACTGTTTGAAATTATCCGAAAATTATTCGATAGATGCTTAAACGAAGAAGAAGTTCCAGAAGAATGGAGATAATCATATATCTCTCCAATACACAAGAAAGTCACAAAGACGGATCCTAAAAACTATAGAGGAATCGCAGTGGTTGCTAATATAGGCCGACTATACTCAAAAGTACTACGAACCCTGATAGAAAATAATATTAAAGACAAACAACCCGAAGAACAA